TTGTGCAGGTTCTTAAAGGGGCAGTGCATGTTGTGCTGAGATATTAAATGGACAGTGTCCCTGCCCAGGGGCAGAGCTGGGAGGGCAGGAGGAGCTGCTCTGCTGTGACCACCAGCCTGATGGCAGGACAGAGGCAGCTTTGGGGTGCAACCAGCCTGGGGTGCTGCTGTGATGAGCGTGGGGTTCATCCCGTTCCCACAACAGTGTCCCAGACTCACCAGTTTGTTCCTGTCTGTGCCCAGCTCCGAATCCATAGCTCCTGTTGCAGTGGTGGTATAAAGTGTGTCCTGCTGCCACGGCTGCAGTGGAGCAGACCTGAGACCCAAATGCCATCCCTCAGCAAGGCTCTGCGTGTCCATAGAGGACTCTCATCCTCAGAACCTTCCCTTAACTCTTTTGGGTTTACCTGGCTGAAATTTCCATTTGGAAATCAACCCAAGTGTGAGTCCTTGGGGAGTGAATTGCACCTGGGGACATGGAGGTGGTAACCAAACAATTAATTAAAGGTGGTCATTGGAAGGTGGCTGTGAGACAGCACCTCCCAGTCCCTGCTCTACCCAGTGCCAGTTTTTTTGTTAAATTAAGGAGAGCACGGCTCAGCTCTGGCCTGTGGCTGATGGACGAGGTGCCAGCTCCATGCAGAATGTGTTTTCCAAAAGCAAATTGGAAAATTAAAAATTCATTCTTCCCCTTGGCTTGTGCCTGCTCTCAGCATTTTAAATTACAGGGTGATTGACTCTGGGCTCGGCTCAGGGAGGATGTTTCGTTCTGCTGCCTGTCACAGCATCCATCACACCTTGCTGGTGTCCATCTGCAGTGTCCTCCTGATGGCTCCAAGCCCTGTGAAGTGATGTGGGCACAGCCTTGCAGCCTCAGACTGATCCTCAGTGCCTGCTCATGCTGGGGATCAGCCTGATTCTCCCTATGGACAAACAGAAACAGAGGGAAATCCTGGTGGAGGGTTTTCCTCATGGAAAACCTGCTTGGAGATGGTTGTCTGAGGTGGGTGAGGCTGCCTGGGAACAGCAGTGCTGTCCCTGTGCTGGTTCTCCACTGAGGGCTCCAGACTGTGGCTTGGTGGAATTCCATTTGGCCATGGCTGTGTGAGGGGTGAACTCAAGCGATCGCTGTGGGAGCAGAGAGGGAATTAATAGGAGAAAGACCTTCAGGGTTGGTTGGCCCAGAGTTGGATTTGAGGTTTTGGGAGCTGCTGGACACATTGGTGCTGAGTGGGGTGGTGTCCTGTGGCACTGATGTGACCTGTTCCCTCCAGGCACTGGCCATGGCTCACAGCCAGTCTCGGAAACGATCGCGGAGCAGGAGCAAAAGCAATTCTCGGAGCAGACAGGAGAGGAAGGAGAAGAAAAGGAGGAAAAGCAGCAAGGATTCCCACAGGGGCAGCAGCTCTCCTTCAAGGAAGAGGACCTCTGGGTCCCATGGACACAAGTCAAGCTCAGCAGCAGCCAGGGAAGGTGAGGGAAGGCCTGTGACCCTGTGCTTTCACCATGTTTTCCTGGGGCAGGTGCATGGAAGGGCTTAGGTGGGAGAAGAAGGTCATTGCTTTAAATCAGTGTCTGTCACCTTTCATGTACTTTGTGCCCATTTTAGTCTCACTCTGCCAAGTGTGGAGCCCTACAGCCCCTCCATGTGCCAATCTGGTACCACACACCAGTGTGTGTTAGAGGTGGCAGCTCAAAGGAGTGTTCCAGGCCAGAAAGAAACCAGGGTGGGAGGGGATAACCAACCTCTCTGCTGCTGCAGGGCCAGAGCTGCTCCACTCAACCTCTTCTTATGTATTGCAGAAAAGAAGAAGGAAGGAAAAGACAAAAAGAAGAGGAAGGCAAGTACCTCTTCCTCTGAGGCAGCATCTTCATCCACCAGCTCTTCCTCTTCCTCCAGCTCCTCTTCAGATGACTCCAGTGATGGTGACTCCAAAACAAAGAAGAGTCAACACAGCAAGAAGAAGCGAGTGAAGCAGAAGGACAAAAAGAAGAAGAAGAAGAAAAAAGCAAAGAAGAAAGCAAAAAAGAAAGCAAAGGAGAAGGCTAAGGAAGAGAAAGCCAAGGGAGAAGAGGTGCCTGGCCCCTCACTGGAGCAGTGGCAGAAGGAATCAGTGGTGGACTCTGGGCCAGGTAATGATGGTGTTTCCCTCCTGCTGGAGCCTGTGCACACAAGCATCATGTTGGTCCCTTGCTGGAACCCATGTGAGTGTCTCAGGGGCACAGGTCTGTGTACAGGGGAGTCCCAGACTCTCCTCCCTCCTACATACTGTGGCCACCTTTGAGCCACAGCCTGTAAAGCATAAGGAGCCACACACAGAGAGTCATTTGTGTATCGATGTAGTTTATGGATGTGAGTGTGGAACAAAGATGCCAAATGGAAGGAC